CGCTCACGCCCATCGCGTTTGGATCATGCCGCCCCGCATGCGTTAAATCCGATTTTGTGCGCATGGCATGTCGGGTGCGATCATACCAGCACTAATGCACTGGATCCCATCAGAACTCCGCAGTTAAGCGTGCTTGAGCGAGAGTAGTACTAAGTTGGGTGACCACTTGGGAAGTCCTCGTGTTGCACCCCTTTTTTTCTTTCAATTTCTCCCAGTTCTTTTCTTCCTTTCTCTACAAATGAGAACCTCCCCCGCTCACGCCCATCGCGTTTGGATCATGCCGCCCCGCATGCGTTAAATCCGATTTTGTGCGCATGGCATGTTGGGTGCGATCATACCAGCACTAATGCACCGGATCCCATCAGAACTCCGCAGTTAAGCGTGCTTGGGCGAGTACTATGTTGGGTGACCTGACCACTTGGGAAGTCCTCGTGTTGCACCCCTTTTTTTCTTTCAATTTCTCCCAGTTCTTTTCTTCCTTTCTCTACAAATGAGAACCTCCCCCGCTCACGCCCATCGCGTTTCGATCATGCCGCCCCGCATGCGTTAAATCCGATTTTGTGCGCATGGCATGTCGGGTGCGATCATACCAGCACTAATGCACCGGATCCCATCAGAACTCCGCAGTTAAGCGTGCTTGGGCGAGTACTATGTTGGGTGACCACTTGGGAAGTACTCGTGTTGCACCCCTTTTTTTCTTTCAATTTCTCCCAGTTCTTTTCTTCCTTTCTCTACAAATAAGAACCTCCCTCGCTCACGCCCATCGCGTTTGGATCATGCCGCCCCGCATGCGTTAAATCCGATTTTGTGCGCATGGCATGTCGGGTGCGATCATACCAGCACTAATGCACCGGATCCCATCAGAACTCCGCAGTTAAGCTAAGCGTGCTTGGGCGAGTACTATGTTGGGTGACCACTTGGGAAGTACTCGTGTTGCACCCCTTTTTTTCTTTCAATTTCTCCCAGTTCTTTTCTTCCTTTCTCTACAAATGAGAACCTCCCCCGCTCACGCCCATCGCGTTTGGATCATGCC